CCACCCCGCTGCCTTCTCCAGTCCGATCCCTTTTCTCAGCTGGGGATTCTGACCCAGCATGCCCCCCCCCCCCGCATTGCCCCTGGCTGGGTTTCCCGTAACGTGAGAGGGGGCCAGATGTACACACCTTCTCTCTCACCCCCTCCTCACCCCCTCTAGGGGGGCTACAGCGTGAGTTAGCAAATGGAGCTGAGTTGCAGTAGGGGGGCATTTTTGAGTTTCTCTATACTTTTTTTTTTGAATCCCTCCCCCATCCTGTCTTCTCTCTGCTATGCTCCCTTCTTGTGCACTGTGAGTCGTGCATGCAGACACGTATTCCAGCTCCCCCCCTCCCCCTCGGACTTCACCCCTGTCACCAGCCTGGGTGGCCCGGCATCAGGCTTGAGGGGTTACCGTGGCGACTGCGACCCGTCAGGCCGTCTAACCAATGGGCGCTGACCTTTTCCTGTATGGCTGCATTAATGGCCATGGAGGGACGATCTAGGTCACTCCATTTGAGTGTGAAGCAGCGGATCGCCAAGGCAGAGCTGTTTTCTCAGGGCCTGTTTCTGCAGATATCTGCATCACTGTTTAAACATGATGCACAGAGTCACTCAGAGACACTTGCTGCCTTCCCAGGTTGTCTGGGTCTTCAGAACCCATATTAAACACTTTAACTATGTGGATTTTCAGGCATCGGATTGGCCGAGCTCTGTGAGTACGAGCAGCGGATTGGCCGAGCTCTGTGAGCACGAGCAGCGGATTGGCTGAGCAGATGGCGAATCTCTGCCATTCATGGAGATGCGTTTCTGGTCTCCTGGGTCATTCTTACCCACTCAGAAAAGTCTGATGGAAACTTTCACTTTTACGTCAGGTCTCTTTGGCTGGAAACGCACATGAATGGAGTTTGTGTGGTTGAGATGGCTGCGTTCTCTGCTCAGAAGGTGTTTTTTAATCATCTACACTAGAATCCCACCAGGACCAGCCTTGCTGGGTGTGTATGTGGTGACCAGCACAGTGTTATTGTGGGGCTTTAGTCTCCATCCACAAGCATCCATCAAATCAGCAAGGTCCCCCCACCCTCCCATGCCCGCTTGTATGAGTGCAGAGATGGAGAGTCTGTCAAGTCACGTGTCACCCTGCCTGTGCCCTCACTCCTGGCAGCAGTGGCCAGGTGGCATCTTGCCCTGCCCCCCCACCCCCCACAGCACAGCCTGTCAGAGGGGATTACTTCAGCTGGCTGGGCCCTCGTAGCTCTGAGGAAGGTGTGAGAGAAGTGGGGGGGGGGGGGTAGAGAATGAATCACAAAGCTGAGGATCTCAGTGCCAGCTTAGAGTGCCCACTTGGCAGTGGGCTTAGGGCAGAGCAGCCTTGTGAGCCTTGAAAACCTGCCACACAGTAGCCCTGTCAAATCTTCAGCCCCACCAGCCTTACACCTTCCCAACTTCGTATTAGAAGAGGTTATGGCGTTTAATTAGCGTCTACAGATACCCTTTAAAAGGTTTGGCCTTTTTCCCCCCATCAGCAGCACAAAATCCCCTTTAGTATTATGTATATCAGAATGATGACCAGGGCTTTAAATTGGAAATTTATTGTTGGTTTTCCTATGAAACGTTTAAGGTAAAATGTGTCTGAAATGGCCAATAGGGTCTGCTTAAGCTCATTTGTGAATATGGGGCCTGAGACATGTTAAGCGGTGTTTTGGTGCCCTTAGATATGCCTGATCAAAAAACACATCTGTAGCTGATTGGGAGCGACTCAGTCAGGTGTGGGCAGGAGAAGCTAGTGTGTGTGTGTGTGTGTGTGTGTGTGTGTGTG